CAGGGACGTCCCTGGTGGTCCAGGGGTTAAGATTTGGTGCTTCCACTTCAGGCGGCGTGAGTTCGATCCCTGGTCGGGGAACTAAGATCCCGAATGCCCTGCAACACAGCGAAAAACTAAGAAGAAATGCATTTTGAAAAGAATCAACATTTTTTTTTTTTTAAAAGAAAATTGGTGAAGTCCTGAAAGTGTCTGAAGCAGCTTAAGCAGCAACTGAAACCACAAGGGGTGGGAGTGAGCTGGTCCTGGGAGAGGACCTTTCATCAGATTTGGGAACGAGGCGTGAGCCAGGAGCCATCTAACGAGAGCTGCTGGCATCCGAGCGTTTGATGCCTACAGCGCTCAGTGGGTCTGAGTTGGTCCGTTCATAGCGGCGGGTCCTGAGAGGCGCGGGTTAGACTATGTGAGAGCCCGGTGGAGGGGAGCGGGGGCCGGGAGGCGTTTACACACGTGTCCAGGCTCCACCCGCTCTGAGCACAAGGAAACAATCCCGGCTTCTGGGGAACAGGGCTGGTGAAGCGGGGGGCCCTGGGGACCCTGATCGTGCCAGGATTCAGAGCAGGTCTGCACACCGAGGCTCAGAAGTTGACGGGAACCACCCTCAACAGGGGGAATGAATACAGGAGATCTGTCTCGTGGCTGGGACCAGCATGGGAGGGGTGAGAGGTCTGTGAGACCACCCAGGGCTTCCGGTGGGCAGCAACCCCGAGACTGCTGGCTCTGAAGGACACTTGTTAGGGGGCAACGTAGGACCCCCCACATTTTACAGACTCCTCGCCTTTCAGGTCTGGAGTCCATGCTTTGATCTGAGACCATGGAGAGCAGACAGGGGCCACTGCCCTGCAGGGTGGTTTGGAGCAGAAGGTGGGCCTTCCCAGAAATGCAAGCTGCTGTGAGTTGAGAAAGACAGAGGTGCGCAGAGAGAGGACCTCTGCTGAGTTACTAAGAACAGTTCCTCCACACCCCATAGAGCCCGCTTTTTCCACTGGCTGGGCCCTTCAGCTCCATCGAGGTGACCAGCAAACAGCTGCTAAATGAAGATGCCAAAAGCAACACCCGTATCCTTTACGATGTCGATGTCTTTAGATAATCACAACCTAGAAATCATCCAGATTTTTGAAATACAATTGACAATGACATGGGGATTAGGGCGCGCGACTTTCCAGGTACTCAGAAATCACATAATTTTACCATCAGCCTCCATATCCATGATTCTGCATCTGGGGATTCAGCTGATTGCTGACTGCATAGAGCTACAAATATGTATGTAGGGGGAAAAAAATCCCGTGTACAAGTGGACCTGTATGGTTCAAACCCGTGTTGTTCAAGGATCAAGTGTGTAAAGAATTCATTCAGAAGTTACCGACCATATGTTCCAATTCCAGATGTAAACTTTAGAGCTGAATACATCCAATTTTTCAGGTTTCTTTAGAGTATAGTATCTGGAGCTTGAAAGAACTGGTTTGAATTTTAGGCTTGCCACTCACAAGTTACATCATGTTGGGTGAGTGATTTCTTTAAGAAACCTCAGACTCCTCATTAATAAAATGGGAATCGGGACATTGTCTTTGTTGATTTGTGGAGCTGGCATATGCAGAGTGCCTGGCACAGAGTCCTTGCTTAGTAACTGCAAGTGAGTTGTACATGCATCAGTGTGTGCTAAGTCAGGCAGGTCAGGGAGCTCGGACCATACTTTGCTGTGAACTCAGAGTGTCAGCAGCAATGATCAAATGATTTTATTCTTTTTGGCTTTTTGCTGTTAATCAAAAGCCACATGGAAACTCTCCATTACAGGCCTGGTATTTAGATTTGAACACATTAGAGACTGTATGCGCTAGTGATTCCTGCACCACTTCCTGCCTCCTTGCCTCCAGTCCTGGGGGTGAGGAGACCTGTGAGCCAAGTGTTTACATCTGAATGGTGTAGTGTGAGAGTAAAATGATACACACTGCACATGTCAGAAACACCCAGAAACACCCAGAGATACTGTATCCCCAGCGATTTTCTTCTAAAGGGAAAAATCCAGTAAACTGCATTTTGTTCAAGTGTGTGCCAATACAAAAACTGGAATGTTCAAAAGAGAAGGTGGACCTGCTGTATTTAAAATGGAAAACCAACAAGGACCTGCTGTATAGCTTATGGAATTCTGCTCAATGTTGTGTGGCAGTCTGGATGGGAGGAGAGTTTGGGGGAGAATGGATCCATGTGTATGTTATGGCTGAGTTCCTTCACTGTTACCTGAAACTATCACAGTGTTATTAATCAGCTGAACCCCAGTACAAAATAAAAGTTTAAAAAAAATTAAAGAAACCCAAGAAGCAAAAGGAAGGTAGAACGTTTCCATGTTTCAGTAGTAAAAAGACTGTCAAACGACTCTCCTTTACCTAGATCAGAAAACCTCGCAGAGGCTAATTTTCCAACAGTTGTAGCTCTTTTAACCACAGAATGATTATCGCAAGCTAGACCACTGCTCTGTGGCTGCCGCTGCTTCAAGTCCTCACACCCGCCCACCCCAAAGAGGGGCTCTTGTTTTGGGGGGTGACAGAGGGAGATGGAGAATGAGATGGTGAGTTCGCACTGGTTAGATAACTGTATATGAAGGCTCAGAAACCAAGAGAGGAGTAAAGAGATGGGCGGGAGGGCTTCGGCTGACATGAGATGCAAGCGGCTCTGCTTGAATCACTGTCCTCGTGACCGTCTGTGTCTGGGAAGCACTCGGCTGGAACGGGGAGGAATGGAACTTGACAGCGACCGTTCGTCAAATGCCCTCTTCTGAGTAACAACACACATAGGTATGCAGAGTGGTGGAGACAAGCTAAGAGAAGTGGGAAGGGATCTGATGTCCATTTACCTAGAAAAAGGCGTGTCGTGTGAATTCTGTCCGACAGAGAACCAAGGAAGCACCTCTTAGCTGATGATCAATTCTTTCCATCCTTTAAAAAGGCTTGAAGTTCAATGTGATTCTGCAGGAAACTGAGGATTTCTTCATTGAATTGGCATTAATTACTTTTTAAATGTAAATTTTCAGCTGCAAGCCTTTTTTAATATTAAAAAACCTCCAAGTACATCAGAGTAAATCAAAGACTAATTGGTGACCAAATTATAGGGTTTAAACCACTTTTTTTGGGCCATAAATGAGTGAAAAATAATTAGCAAATGTGAATACACACTTTTTCTTTTATTAATAATGAATCATATGGTGAGAACCCATTTTTTTTTTTTTGAGCAAAATTCAAATTTCTGTTTGAGACTGAGAGCTATAATTCCGTTAGGTGGCACTTTATGTTTAATCAGTGCTTTCTCCTCTGCCGGTGTCTACTTGTGCCCAGACCAGGGCTGGTCTGTCAGGATGGCTGCCATCACAGGCAAGGATGGAAATGGACAACTTTGGTGGGCCCTGGCTCTTGCATGCTGAGCCCCTTCAGTTGTGTCTGATTCTGTGCAACCCCATGGACTGTAGACCACCAGGCTCTGCTGTCCATGGGTTTCTCCAGGCAAGAATACTGGAGTGGGTTGCCATGCCCTCCTTTGGGGGATCTTCCCAGGATGGTATTAAATACGACCATCTGCAAGTGTCTTATGGCAATCCACCACTCCAGGATTCTTGCCTGGGAAATCCCATGGACAGAGGAGCCTGGTGGGCTACAGTCCCATAGTCACAGAGGAGTCAGACATGACTTAGCTACTAAACAACAACAACAACAAACGTTTTACTGGAGCTTCCATTTAAGACGTAAGTATGGAGGACTGCAGAGCGCTTAGGGCTTTGGTCAGAGGCTCTTACAGGACCCGAGGCAGATCCTGGTCAGAGAATCCACTCCAGGGCTGTCTGCTTGGCTTGATGACAGCTTCAGCCCACTTCCTATCAGCCACAGCTATTTATACTCAGAGGCACAGATTCCACAGCTGTGCAGATTGCCTGCGAGTGACTCAAATCATCTCTCCTCCCTTCTCCCTTCCCAGCTCAGGGAAGACGAACAAAGTTGTTGTTCAAGACAATCGTGGCAAAAAAGGCAGACTCATCGGGGGTGGAGGAGGGTTCTCTTGTTCCCTTCGTAAGCATCCTCTTCTCTCAGAGATACTGTTCCTTTCTCGCCTCTCATTCCCACATAGCCACATCCCTTTTATAATGAAACAACCAGTTGGTGCTGACCTTGACTTTGCAAAAAAGGTATTTTGCTCTGGGCCATCTCTACAAAGACTCTACAGGTTTCCGGGTTAGGGTTATTCTATAAGTCAAGCTACTAACTCTAGCTGGGAGAGGAGAAGAGACCCGGGGGCAAAACCAGAAAGTACTGATGGTTCAGGGCCGTGTAATGTCACGAAGGACATTGTTTCATGAGGCCAAAACACTTGTCAGTTGTGGAGAGGACTGGAACCCAGGCCAGGCTCAGCTTCAGACAGGTTGGAGTGACCCAGGCAAGTCTGGTCCCCCTTCTGGCCTCAGCTTTCTCATCTGTGAAGAGAGGGCACTGCTCAAGAGGACCTGTTGTGTTGCTTTCAGCTATGAAATTCTGTGATAGCACAAGGATCATTTTCCCTGTTTCTGTGAAACAATAACAGCTCTGGGTTTGGAAAATGATCTAACAGCCTTGTTCCCTGAATGAAAATGTGTCTAAGCGTTTTGCTGAGAACAGCCCAGTCTCCTGCCTAGAAAAACAACGCCCCCCACCAAATGCAAACAGGGTGGAAATGAAGAATAATACCACCACTTTGTATTTTTACCTCTCATGATAAAACAGTAGTTTTAGAAATCATAAAAATGTACCAGTTTGACAAATGGCACATTTAAAACCCGATTTAGCAAAGGGGTTTTACCTTTGTAATTTTAAAACTGTCACTTGAACTAAAAATATAGGCAAGCAACTTGGCCTTTCATATTTAATGTTTTCTTTTCTCCCTTTTTATTTGCAATTTATTCTGTTCAGCTTTGATTAAGGAAGTAGCAGAAATGGAATGGAGAGTGACCAGTCCTTGGCTAACTCGTTTTTGAGAAGATGGTAAACGTGACTCTTCCCACCAAGGAAGAATTGAACTTTCTCAGCACCAGTCCTGGTTGGCTTTGGTGCATTAGCTATGTTTCATACCCTTAAACATCAACACAGAATCACCTAAGAATATTGGACTTAAAGAGGACAAGATAACTGGAGGCTTGCTTTCTCCCCTGATGCAATTCTCAAGATTCTACATGTTTGTTAGAGTAAGTATGTTATGGCCCCAGATTAATTGGTAATTATAGCAGGTCAGAAAGAACTTGAAACAAAAATGAGAACCTCGGATGTCCTGGAGTGCAGGATATTAAAAGCTGCTATGCAGGATTAAAGGAATGTTTACAGATGTGTTTTTCTATTTTCAGGCGAGAACTTAGGCAAGTCGCTGCATTTCTTTGAACTTTAGTGACATGATCTGTAAGAGGACAGAGTTGGAGTAGCCGCCAGCAAATGCTTCTGAATGTTCCAGTGTTTAATTGAAGCTTTTTTTCCCCTTGTGCAAGACTTGGCTCAGGAAAGGTGCTTACCTATTGTTGGGATCCGAAGAGTTAAGGATTCATTCAGAGGGGCATTGGAGTGCAGAGGATAGAATTCAGCATCAGGTTGTGGGGGTGGTCCTGGGCCTTCTGGGTGGGGAGGGGGCCGGGGCAGATCACAAATGGTTTCCCTGTTTATCAAATGGGGATGATAAGCCTCGCTCCTAGGGTTCTTTTAAGGCTCAAATGCGATAACAGAACTGCGAGCTCTTGAAAGACAGTATAAGTGGGAAGTATTTGTATAAAACGCTCTTTCTAAAGAGTATTGATGGAAACATCTTTATGCAGCCGTGCACAGCGGTATTGAGCTGTTTATTCACTTTTTAGCTGTCATTAGCTGCTGATTCTAGCCTGTTGATCTAGCCCGTGAGCACAATAGGAGAGCTCACAACAATGGTGGGTCTGAGTGATCCGGCTGCATCCGGGGGCTCGCCTCCCGGAAATCACTGCCCTCCGGTTCCGCTGATCAGCGACCCGCACTGCGGAGTCTCAGGGTGATCAATGCGTCCACCCTGAGGTGAGCGTGCTCATTGTAACTTCCTTCATGGGTGTCAATTGAGACTCGGCTTGAACATCTCAAGTGAGGAAGCGCGTAATTGAGGTGAAGGGAAGAAGACCTATAACAATCTCCCTCCCTTTGAACAAGCTTCCTCCTTTTTAAGATGACTCTCTTTGTGCAGAGGCTGTGAGAGGTGCCTTACACCCTCAACTCATTTAATTCTTATCACTACCCCTGCAAGTTGATTTTCAGTATCCCCATGTTTAAGGTGAGGGAACTGAGTCTGAAAGGGGTAATCGAATGAAGACATGGGAGTCCCTATATCATAGAATTGGGTTAAAACTGAACGTTGCACTAGTCCATTTATCATAACAGCATCTCTTGAGAAAACTTGTCACCATTGACAGATTCCCACCCTCCATCTTTTTTTTAAAGTATTCATTTATTTATTTTAAATAAGTAAATTCATTTTCTTTACCAGCACAGGCCCAGGCTGCGCTGGGTCTTCACTCCTGCCCACAGCCTTTCTCTAGCGGTGGTGAGCCAGGGCTACCCTCTGGTTGTGGTGCATGGGCTTATTGTGGTGACTCCGCTGGTTGCAGATCATGGACTCTAGGGTCCACAGGCTCAGCAGTTGTATTGCAGGGGCTTTGTTGCCCCACAACATGTGGCCTCTTCTGAACCAGGGATTGAACTCATGTCCCCTGCATTGACAGGTGGATTCTCAACCACTGGACCACCGGGGAAGTCCCCCCTCTCATCTTTTCTCAGCTCTGTTAGAACTATTTCTTACAACTTATAGATGGCTACTTAAAGTGTGGTCCATGTACCAGCATGATGGACCTCACCAGGAACTTGTTTGATTTATAGGAACTTGACCCCACCTCAGGTCTCCTGATTCAGAGTCTGCATTGCTCCAAGACCTTCAGTGGTCCACGGGTACACTATAGTTTCAAGGTTACTGACTAGAACATACTAGCTGGTCAACTTCCTCCTTTTCAAGATGACTCTCTAAATATCTCTCCTGACCACATCAGAACTTCTGCCCCGCATAGAAATATATGCCAGGGACACCTTTAACTCTCCTCAGAGTCCTGTAAATTTCTATCAAGTTTCCTTGTCTAACTTGAGAGAGCTGATCCCTTTTCTGACCTTCCAAATGTAAGTTTCATGAACTGTCCTGCTCTGTGCCCTGTGAAAAATGTCTGGATATTTGTGATCCTCTGAATTGTAGGTGATATCCTGCACAATTATTGGTCAATTAGTCATCAAATCATTAGTCAGGTGGAAGAGTTTAGATTTTGTGGGCTAGATTTTTAGGCATAAGAATAATATAGAAAATGGTGAAATAAACTGAAACAGGGAAATTTATCTTGTGGTGTCTTGCAGTGTGGTTTAAGAGGGAAGAGAATGAGGCTCTGAAAGTAATTGCAAATTATAGAAAATAGAGCCCTTTGAAAGCTTTTATTGGCTGTCATCTGATGCGTTGACTCATGGGTTTCATATGATGTAAGTTTATTCCCTTGAAAAATGAACCAAATTTTGTCAAAATCAGTCAGCTTATTTGAAACTGATTATGAAATAAACACACAGACACATGCAATTTATAGAACAATTAATTTGAAACTTTATCCGGACCATTATTATGGTGTCTGCCATATATTTATAACTGAGCATTTGTGCCATTATTAATATGCTGATCATCAATGCCAATCTTTTCTAATAAGGGCAGAATCTATGACTGTTAATTGGCTTTTATAGATGCAGCTGTAATTGATAAAGTGTAGCTCCTTCCCCTCTTCTGAATGTTTGCCATGGGATACAAAACACTCTTTCTTTCAGGAAGATACCAAGTCCCTTTAGCCAGAGAATTCTGTCCAGTCACCAACACCAAGACAGAAATGAGTAGGCCCTTCCAGATAGGAGGGGGTTGGCTCCCTGCTCTCTGAGCTATACTCTTGCTTCTTGCTACTTCCACCATCTTTTGTCTCAGCCAACAGGGGGGTGTCCTGTAACTCCTCCCTCCACATCCCTCCTCTAATGTATTTCTCTTCCACTGCTGATGGTGTCCAAAAAGACACTTTAAAATCTCATACCTCCCAGAATATAAAAACAGAATTATGGAAAGATACTTTAGAACTGCCAGGTTTGGGTTGTTGGTTTAAATAGCTCCAAAATGATACAGACCCAGCACCGTCTATTGGCTATGTTTCTGGAGGCAGGCATTCTGAACCATGAGGGTCAAACAATATTTTCAACCAAAATGACATCTGAAGAGAACCAGCATGTGACAGTCTGCATCCAGGATTCCAGTTGTAATCTCTCACATGTATATTTCATTATGAATAACTCTCTTGATTTTTTTAAAAAATCACAACTTTTCTGTCTGAAAAGTGGGTTGAAATTTCAGTCTCATGTTTTGGCCACCTCAGGGGAGCTCTCCCATGTAATACTGGAGGGGACTCTAAATAAACTCCAGCATCTGGTGGTGTAGGGAGAAATGAATTATGATTCCACATTGGAACTGTTTCTCTGACTTGCTTTTCATTGCTTTTGTTATTATAATCAGACATAATGGCCTACCTCAGAGAATCCTGCCCCTCTGCCTGACTGTTAAGTGGAAGTACCCTGTTGAGTACCCTGGCCATCTTTAGATGGCAGGAAGGAAGAATTTAATACGTCCCCTTGCCCGAGGTTTCCTATTTTAGGAAATACTTGCAAGATTAGTGGCCTTTTTACTTTGTTTTCTCACCTCCCCGCATCTCTGATCTATAAAAGAACCTGGCATCCAGACCCCTACAAGGTGGTTATTTTGAGACATTAGTCTGCCATCTTCTCAGTCAGCCAGCTCTCCAAATAAAGTTGTTATTCCTTGCCTCAACACCTAGTCTCTCAAATTCACTGGCCTGTCTTGTGGTGAGCAGAGTGAACTAGGACTTGGTAACACTGGGATACAATGAGAGAACGTCTCCTTTTGTTGCTTGTTCTCAACAGAGAGACTTCTTGGCTTCTCATCCAGTAAGAGAGTAGCTTTCATGGTTAGCAGTGGAATGACTCCAGGAATAAAAATTGAAAATATTATCAACATAGATAATATTCAATATAGAATTCAGTCAGTAGAGGGTCTGAATCCAAAAGAAATGAAAAGTTTATTAATGTCTCTGATCTTTGTACAGCTTGAAATAAAAACTTCAAATTACTTTCCTATTAACTAAATGACTTAATTGCATTGGAGGAGAGTCTAGCCAAAAGAGGGCTTGCATCTTTGATGTTTCTTATACCATTTCTCATATGTTTCTCATGGACAAGGCAAATGGTAAAAATCACTTGCATTTTATGCATTTTACTGTGGTGTGTAGTCCATCCCTCAACCCCTCACATGCTCGATGCTCTGAGAGTAGTGAGAGGCATTTTAATTGACATTTACTAGACTGGGAGGGACAGAAAGCTTTGCTGGAGCAGAGGCTGTCTTCAGAGTTGCCAGGTCTGAGAGTGAGGTTCCTTATCAGTAGAACCTTGGCCTCTGATTCGCACCTTTGGCTGGACTTTGGAGGCCTGAGGCACAACAGGGGTGGATGAACATGTGTTTGGGAGGCTCATTTATACTCATGGCTGGGCAGGAGGTATCTCATTCCTGTTGTAACATCCATTATTTTACACATAGTTAATTCCTTATTGTTTACCCTAAGATCGTGATTTTTTGCTATGGAAACTCTAAAAATAGGGAAGATATCAATCTGTGTGATCTATGAGTGGGGAACATTGGTCTGATACTTTAGATCAGAATCGGTCATGTAGCAATACAGAGGCAGTAGAGAGAGGGATGTGATATCATTCTTGAGAGACCTTTCAAGTGGCTGTGGGTAGAGTGAGACAGGATTCCATCAAATTCTTAAGACCCGTGGGAGAGGGGGTAGGAGCCTGCAAAGAGTGATCCCTGAACCCCATAAATGGCTGGTGGACTAGTCATCAGCACAGAAACAGGTACAGAGAGGTATTAGATTCAGAAAGATATTCAATAAATCTCATCCACAACCTTGACTGCCCATGGTAGGTCAGGCCCTGGATGAGGTTAGGGAGGTGGTGTTGGGCCAGGAAGTGGACCACGGGGCCCACCAGTCCTGGAAACCCAGCCTTGCTTTAGCACTTACTAGCACTTGGTTCGATCTCTGGT